ATATATATATATATATATATGCGTTATTGATGATTACTGTTACTCAAAGTATGTGCAGCATGATGTAATAGTTTCAAGATTGATATTAACTTGGGCACCGCAACTTATACATGACGTTAACAAATGAAATTGGTTAATATGCATAATGATATTCGTTTTTCTACTTACGAAATTATCAATGGTTCTGGTAAAATGCAGATACAATATGACAGGTATGAATGGGGATTGGATCAAAACTTGTTACTGTTTTTGTAATATTTGTTAATACTAAAATGATGGACGCAACCATATTGTTGCATAGTACTTGAATTTATTTTAAACGATCAAAATAATAAACAGAAAATGAGCAAATTGGGTATTAGGCCTATGCATACAATAAGGTTCCAACTGATTGTTTGCAATGCAAACTTTTTAACTTTATTATTACTAAATACATTCAAATAACAGAAAATAATTTGACCGTAAACTCGAAGTAATATGGAAAATGTAACACAATCCAAAGATAAATGAAAGGGAAAATGATTGCCATCAGACTGAGTACCATACACATCAGGAAAATGTTAAAACATATGATTAACGATTTGTACAATAGGCCTACATTCCAAGTTGTCAAACTCATTAACTTAATAATAAAACAACCACATACAAATAACCATACAAATAATAACCCTACCAAAAATGCTTAACCAGGTTAGGCAGACGACCGAAATTGATATACAGACGATTAAAATTGTTTAGCAGACAACAGAAACTCTTTTTAAGTTAGAAGACGCTAAAATCAATGCTTAGTATAAAACCGAGGCATTATAAGGCATAATACGTGGAATAAATTATTGCTACACAAATGTTTCCCGTGACAACATACAATAATATGAATACCTGCACATTTGCATAAATTTACATTTATTAGCAAATAATCCACTCGAAAGCATAGCATATCGGGCATGTTCTTAAAATTATTTGGAATAATAAACATACATTTGATTTGTATTTCAGATTATTTACACTGTAAATATTGGCATAATTTAGACAATTTTTTACTCTCTTTACATTGAATTCCCTACCAAAATATTAGAGTACTGTAGAAACAGACAGACAGACAAACCTCATGTGCAAGATCTTGCTTAAAGATATACTACACCCACTACCCCACCCCTCCAAAAAAAAAAAACCCCCCCCCCACCAAAAAAAAAAAAAAAAAAAAAATCAGAAAAACCTCAAAATTTCAACTCATTGGAAAGGATCTAATATTTAATAAAGTATTGAACTTCCAAACAAAAAAAAACATTTTTCCCCGCTAATTCACAGAAATTTAAAAAAAAATAGATTACCGGCAAAATTAAGGAATTAAGAATACAGGAAAGGTATCACCTAAATTTCTGTTAATTGACAAATCACGTCATTCAAATATGAAATTGATATGTTTTACCTCATGAAAGACAACATACCATAAAACTTCGAATTGAAGCCCAATGGGCTTAATCTCGAGATGAACCCCATCTCGAATTGAAGCCCCTTCTTAGTTTACAAAATTAGCCTCGCAAAGAAGCCCATGGGCTTCTTTTCAAGATAGCATATGCTTTTTTTCGAGATAGTACAGTACATACACTGTACATGAATTCCAATAAACAAAATAAGCAAAATTTAAAAACAAGCTTGGTTTATACAGTAATTTAGGTAATTTAATGCCAGTAAAATACACTCCATGATACAGATTGATGTTATAGTGGCCTTATTTATTGTTTTATAGTACAAATTCACAAAATTTACAGCATTCATTTTGAAAAGAAGGCCCCCAACCCTCTTTACTTTGCAAAAGTAGCCTCGAAAATAAGTCCACCCAAAGTTTGCAAAAAAAACCAAAAACAAACAAACAAAAAGATGCCTAGGGCTACTATTCGAGGTTTCACAGTATCTTTAAGCAAATAATAAACAAGGTATTTTAACAAAACATTAAAATTCTCGCAGACATTTGTGTCCACTAAAATATTTCCACTCTGGATAATGTATATAGAGTATGGTTATATGGGATGATTTCTTTCAATTGAAAGTGCATTGTATTTCATTTTACATATGGTCGCAACTAAACACTATAAAAGTGTGTACATTAATAACATCTGTGGGTACAGGAGGAAAACACATTATCTTCCGGTGACAGGAAACATTAATGTGATCTAAATACCATGGGTGTTTGTATAGATTTCTGTGCGTATGTATGTAGGTTTATGTAAATGATGTTAATGCAAATGTAATTATACCTTTCTTTGCATGCAAAACGTCTTACAATTAATTATAAGAAAAACTCTTGCTAAAGTGTATTGTTTTTGAATTGTTTTTAATTTGAATTTATATATAATAGTAAAATATAGTAATTTCATTTGCTATTTAAATGGGGATTAAGATACTTAATATATAAATGTAGTTAAGAATAAAGATACAGTCATCACAAATAATGAGATATTCTTTAATTTTGATCAACCCATAAGGCAACATTCTCTTTAATGAATATGTTAATAAAATAATTATTTGTGATAAAAGATGTGTACTAATCATGAAATACTAATTTACTAATTTAGTGAATACATCAACCTTGGCCTATTATAATTTTCACTGTGCAAATTGTTTGTGTTACTTTTTCAATAGAGTTACAACATCGGTTGTACTGCAAGCTTTTCGGGGAGACAAATAACACTTTACATTTAGGAATACACATTGGAATGTCTTGGTCACATCTGATACCAGTATAATCATCTCAAGTATACATGGAATATTTGATAAAAAAATATT